TTCTTTCCTTTTCTTTGTCTTTCTTATGTTTCCTTATCTTTTCTTTCTCATGTTACCTTCATTTTCTTTCCTTGTTCTTTCTTATGTGACATTTTCTTTTCTTTCATTTTTCTTTCTTTTGCTTCCTTGTCCCATTCCTTTCCATTATATTTCTTAAGTTTCATGTTCTTTCCTTTTCTTTGTCTTTCTTATGTTTCCTTATCTTATCTTTCTCTTTTCTTTCTCGTGTTACCTTATCTTTCTTACCTTGTTCTTTCTCATGTGACCATTTTTTTTCTTTCTTATGTTTCCTTAACCATTACTTATCATTATATTTCTTAAGATTCCTGTTCTTTTACTTTTCTTTCTTAGAGAAAAAAAAAAAAAAAAAAAAAAAATTATCACACCCCTCACCTCAAGTTTCCAATCCTTACAATCATATCCTTTCAGTTTCCTTACCTATTCATTCAAGTTACATGCAAGTATCGTCGTGACTTTTCTTTTTCCTTATTTCCTAACTACTTACCGTCTAATGTTGGAAAGGCATCTCTTAGCAGATGTGATTTCAGAGACAATTTGAAAGTATTTATTGACTCACAAGATCTAATTGTCAAAGGCAGATTGTTCCACAAGCGTGGAGCAGCAACAGAAAAGGCTCTGTCTCCCCAGGAATTGTGTGATTTGGGCTGATGCAGGAGGAGTTGATTGGAAAAACGTAAGTTACGTTTAGGAGCATACCAATGGAACATATCTGCAATGTAGTCTGGAACCAAGTCAGTTTTGAATTTAAAAACGATCAGCAAAATTTTGTAAATAATCCGGTGCGTTAGAGGAAGCCAGTGTAAATCTTTCAGAATGTTGGTAATATGTGCATATTTTGGAGTTTTAGTGATTAGACGTGCAGCCGAATTTTGAATTAATTGAAGACGGTGTAAATGTTTTTGTGGAAGTCCATATAGCAGGGAGTTCCCCATATCGAGACGGGAGGTGACAAATGAGTGCACAAGTTGTTCGGCCGCTGTTTTGTCAATGTATTTTCTAATACTACGAATGTTGCGTATATGGAAAGATGAAGTGGAGGTAGTTTTAGAGATGTGATTACTCATTGTTAAAGTAGAATCCATAATAACACCAAGGTTCCTAACAAGCGGTGAGGAGTAAATTTGAGATTCTCCAATGGTGAGGTAATTTTGTGGAAGTTTTTCAAGCTGTCGACGTGAACCAATTAAAATGTATTCCGTCTTTTCATCATTTAGTTTAAGGAAGTTTTGTTTCATCCACCTACACAACTCGGAGATGCAATTTTCAAGAGATTCAAGAGAAATATGACTTTGTGAAATTGTAGGCTTAAATGAAAGGTAAATCTGTGTATCATCAGCATACACATGGTAAGATAGATTATATCTACTAATGATATCTCGGATTGGGTATATGTAAATAGTAAACCACTGGGGTCCGAGGACAGATCCCTGTGGTACAGGATGATTCAAGAAGACCGGTTCAGAAACGGCTTCTCCCACACATACATGTTGAGGTCTATGAGACAAGTACGACCGGCACCATTCCAATGCACGGCCTTTAACACCAATATACTTACTAAGTCTAGCAAGCAAAATACTATGGTCAACAGTGTCGAACGCAGCACTCATATCCAATAGCACTAGAGCGGTGAGTTTCCCCTCATCCATAGCATGCAGGATGTCATTGTGAACACAAAGTAAGGCAGTTTCCGTGCTGTGGTGTGCTCTATATGCAGACTGGAATGGGTCAAGCAGAGCGTGTGTTTGAATGTGTGCCAAAAATGTAACCAAGTTTGTGATGCATGGGATGTGGTAAAATGGAGTTAATATTTTAGTTGGAAACAAAAATCCATGCAATTTTTTGGTAGAATTTTAACCCAGGGTTTCAGATTTTTGTCGGAATGACAATCTTAACTAACAACACCTATTTCAAATTAGAATAAATCGATTAAACATCAGCATTTACCTGGACATTTTGTTTCTTAAATGAAAGTTTAACAAGATTAGATTTTATATTTTGTTTTATTATGTAGATTGGTGTGAAAATAATAGGTGCAATGATCCGTACCCATCCACTACTTTTTGGTTTCAAATCATATAGCAAATATAATGATCATGTATAGAAAAATGGAATATTTACAGGAATTGAATACATTTTTAATCCATTTATTTTTTTAAAGGAAATTCATTTGAATGACTTTTGACCGTAAGAAGGGTAGGTGCATGGATGGCAACATTCATACCAAATAATATGTTGTCTTCATCATAGGTTTCCATGGTTTCTTGATCGAGGGATGTTGCGAAAAAAAAAATGCTGATTAACACATCCACCTCTTATTATCTGATGTCAATCGATAGTGTAGAAATATGAATCATAATCTGTATACATAAATATGAGAGGAGCTGTAACCTTTATTTAGTGTCATTTTTAGGCTTAGTGGGAAGTTCAAAATTTTCTTTTTTAATCTTTCACATCCAAGAGCAAGTAAAGTCACCAGTTACTTACAGTAGAAGACAATAAGGATGATATATACAGTAAACCAAATCTTAAGTTGAGAGTGAAACTTTAGTTCAAAAATATATCCTGTTTTTGACAGACTTGAACTCAGGAGCCAGGTACTGGAAGGAAAGCTTAACCACAACATTATAGGCGTACTCAAAATTAAAGATTTTTAAAGACATCAATGCATTTACTATGAATCATAGCATAACCTACTTTCTTGGTGATATTGTTCGTTTTGAACTTATGGACCTCAATCTGTAAAAGTATCTTCTTGGCTCCTCTCAAATTCCTAAAATCATCATTGTTTTCTGTAGAAAATGTTTTTTAAATTATGCCAAAATTTAGCATTTTATGTAAACAAAAGTACAGCATATATGAAAATATGGATAATGATGATAGTATGCAATCAGAATTATGTGTAATTTTTTTAAATGTAAATAAGATATCTCACGGCCGGTATAATGTTGATTTGTGCTTTGTGAATAAAGTTCTACTACTACTATCTACTCAGTTGTTAACATTGCCCTTGGAGATAGTATTGAAGAGATTATGCAGTATTAGGCAAGAAAGACAACCTCTTAAGTGCTTTTTCCTTGTTTTGTGCAATTTCTCTATGATACATAATTATAAGTGTTAATCCTGTCCCAACTCGTTTCAGAGGTGCCTCGATAAAGCCAACCTATTGATACCAAAGCTTACCTACATCCTGTAGTTTCTTGAATACAAATTGTTAAATGTAACATTAAACTTTTTGTTACTGGTATGTGATTACACATAATTACTTACTTTTTTTTTCCAAATAAAAAAAATTACTAGTTTCTCAGTCCCTTACGCATCCATATTCTGTCTCACCAAATTTTGTATGTATTTATATTTTTTTTATTTCCTTTATTTTACAAAATGTACGAAAGTCTGGCTAAGTCACATCAGTAAAATTCCTCTATCAATCATTCGTGGTTGGGTATACGGTACATATGGTATGAATCATGTGCTTCTTTTATTTGCTTTCAATGTGTCTACTTAGTAAAAGTGAGAAAGTAGTACGGTAGCTGTTTCACATTGACCATCTTAGATTTGCTATCTCATAGTAAAAAAAAAAGAAATTTAAGTGCCCTCATTCTCTTTTTTTTTTTAAATAGGACGAGAAACTACTTTTTATTTTTAACTTTGCCTTATATCATACTCTAGCTCAATAATTAGGGCCTACTACATACCTTATAATTTAATTATAAAGAAATTTCAAAACCATGGTAGATTATATCAGGTTTACTGCACAGTATAGTGTGTACTTGATATTTCTACCATAAATGGTTAATTTTCATTACAAATCACAACCTTTAAAAAACGGTTGTAATGAGAATTGGTTTATTACCAATTTTAATTTGTGTAGATCTGCCAGCTGTATTCTAGTTGCAATAAAGAAACTGCATTGTTTAATATTCTAATTACTGTACCACTACATAATATATGGATTAAACAACTGAAGATAATTTCAAAATATAGAGTGACGTACAGGTAAACCATTTACTACCTTTAGCACACATACCTGTATTTCATACCGTATCTTTAGCTATGACGTTGGTATAAATATTGCAACTGTTGTTAGTACATTGGCATTCAAGTGTAACAAATATCCACTTTGTATAAATTTGAACGTGGAGTGTAGGTGTACAGGTACAGTATACTGTAGTACCTTGACCCAGAGTTGACGGAACTAGGGGGTGCTGTGTTATGGAAAATGGTCTGCAGTCAGTTGGTTGTTACTATGCGCCAATGATGTTGGAGTATATAGTACAGCAAGATGAAACTATTATGTAGGCCTAATGCATGAATAAATTCGGAGTTTGTTGGGTAGTGAAATGATTATTGTACATTTTAAGTGCTCCCTAAAATCTTAAGTGTAAGCTAAATTACGGTGATTAATTTTATTAGCAAAGATATAGAGACAATTATTTCGAAGTTCCCTCTTTCCAAGAAGGGATGCAAATTCTTTGTGAAAATGAGTATGCCGCAGTACTCATTTTCACAAAGAAATACACACAACTGGTTAGTTAAAATTATGCCAATGTTACATAAACACCTGGGAAGGAAGGTGCAATCATGTTGTTACCTAGCAAACGTCTGTACTGTATGTGGGGGGGGGGCTACTGATGTAGCGGGGACGATGAGGCATAATAAGCCTAGGCCCAGGCCTAACTAGACAGTGCAATAATATGTGATAGAAAGTACACTTTCAAAAGAAATAAATTAAAATAAGAAGAAAAAAAACAAATAACTAAGAATAATTCAGTTGCAGAGGTACCTTGTTTGCGTATTATACAATGCTAACAATGCGGCTCTTGTAGCCCTAACTAGGGCAAGGCATCCATGTGCAAAGCAGTGGTGTTTGTTTATCCATGAAAAAAGCACGCCGGGAAAGTTTGCCTTACCAGGAAAAGGTGACGTAATCTAGCTTATGACGTATGCATGCTAACTATATTGGAGTGTGACGTCACCAAAAAATGAATATTTTCTATTATAACCAAAATATTAATAACTACAAGGTTTCTGGGCGTAAATTACCTTAATACCAATTAAGGGTTGAATGATTTCCTTGCCATACAAATTACAGCTCCCACTGACGTATCAGTCGAGAAATACGGGTAGCTGAAGTTTTTCTCGCAAATCTGACTACGAAACCATATCGAAGTTCTACTTTTGACCCTGAGTTGTGCTTCGCAATCGCCGCTCAGGGCGGCGTTCCGGGAACCCTGCGTCAAGGAAGCTAAACAACTGGTTTAGCCAGATTTGGAACTTAATCTTTCCTTGGAATACTCAGAGTATTTCACACATACGGCGTAAGACTGGCCGGATTAAAATTCCAAAGTGTTCAAACAAACGGCGTTCACTATATTAACGCTAGAGTTAAACTACAGTAGTAGTAACTGTAATATAGGCCTATGGGGGAATAGTTTTCAGTTTTAAATAATGTACGGGTTCTTAACTGTAGTAAAATATTGACAGTGCATCATTTACACTTTTAAATCTGTGAATTGTTCGAAGTGAACTTATATGATTATTGTATTTTAAATGAAAAATTTTACTTCTGATTTTTCAGCTAGCATTGTGGAACAATTGTTGGTGTTGCATGTTTTCATAGAGAGTCTAAATAGGTTAAAATATCTTATAAAACACAATCAACAAATCATACAATAGGAAAAGAACCCCTTTACCATTTCATTGAAAGAGATCAAATAACTAATCTATTGCAATCGTGATTAGTCAATCTCTTGAAATGAGGTCAAATCATTCAAGCATCTATGGCGTTAGCTCCGTGGCGTTAACTAATCTGGGGTCTGCAGGTAGCGTTAATAACGCCACGGAGGTGGCGTTGCGAGTGGCGTAATTCACACCACTGCCTAGTTCACACACAAAAGCGTACACTACGCCAGCCTGACGCTGTGTGTGAACATACCCTCAGACTTTGATCTTTCCATGGAATACTCCAAGGGTGCGTTCAGGCGAGTTTTTATTGTGGAGTCTAACACGGGATGAATCCGGAAATGGCCAGGCCTGCTGATATCTGCTGAAAACCCAATACTACAAACTGCAGTGTTTTGGAGGAGAAAAACAGCATGCGTTAGCAGCATTTAACCCCCTTTGATCGTTTCAACACACACCAGAAGTAAAGTCCAGTGTTCTCCCCAGGATGAGGGTCATGCATCATGGTACGTTCCTCCACCAGCCCCCTCCCCACCATGGTTGGGGAAATTTTTTTAAAATAATGACCTAGATTCCCAGAAATGGCACTCTCAGAAATCAAAAATGCTTTTTAAGATTTTTGAAATGACTATAGATTTCCATTTTTTAACAATTTTTTTTTTGTGAAATTAGTGACCATATACTGTACTACTATTATAGCCTAGCCAGAATTGCAACAGGATGGCAATTTTGGGCCGACCTAGTTTAGGCCTAGGCCTAAATTTTAGCTTAAAACTGCTTGGCAAGTCAAAACTTGGGACTATAACAGGCCACTATTAGTATCATAGCAGAACGTAAATTTTACGTACAAGAGCAATTTCACAGTAAATAGACATGCTCCAAGTAATATTTTTTAGGAAGCTATAACT